ACATGCCTGGGTTGCAGGCCAGTTTCCAGCAGGGGACTCACTAGAGGCAACCATACATTGATATTTCTCTCCTTCTCTCCTTCCCTTTCTCTCTAAAAGATAAATAAATAAAATCTTTAAAGAAAAAAAGATAATCTAATCAAGAATATATACTCCATGTTTTGGTAGGTAACATTTAAAATTAGCATAAGGAGGCTGGTATGTGCAATCTCAACTTCTATCCTTATGTCTATTTAACACCAGAAAATTTGAAATTGGCATAATGGATATTAGAAAATGATTTTTTTAACTGGTGAAATAAGTAGCATATAAAATATATGGAGTGGCTAGAAATGTTGTATAAACATTGCCAATTTTAAATGAAGAATGAGAATATAATAGAAAAATAGAATAATAATGTGATAATTCTTATATAATAGTATCAGAATCCAGCAAGGTCAGGAGCCTATGTGCTTGGGAGTGTTCCCCAAACCTTAAAATTCGACTAGGTTCTATGTTCAGCCACTTACAGAGGATGCTGTAATCTGGTCTAACTATGAAGTTACCTGGTGCTTGTCATTAGAATATCATCATACCTGCCTAGAGTGGCCCTTTCAGGCAGAGGGTCTAAAAGTAATGGAAAGTGTTGAAGACATCTGGGACTCCCCTGGGCTCACACAACAGTTTGTATAACTGTTTCTGTACATGCTGCTTATCATTCAGCCTGAACCTGGTTGAATTTCACTGTATCAAATACCACCTAGTAGTCAGGTTATGGGGAGACTGTTACTTCACTCATCTCTACCTATTGGAAACTTAATAGGTAGAACTTAATAGCTCACAAGTGGATCCTAAGTTGTGATGACCTAGTTTTCTGAGGTCTGTCTGAGCATGAAGAATGAGATTGACAGGGCAGTGAACATTCTTTCCACTTCTGTGTGACCATGCACATAGTGTTAGTGTGATGGGGATTCCAGGAAATAGAACATTACTGGTACCTAGAGAGCTGGCCTCTTGAGGAAGAGAGAAGACAATGCCCTTGGCTGTGCCAGCTGTTGTTGGGGTGCACTGGGGCAGCAGCAGTTAGTATTCTGCCAAAAGAGGTCCCCCTCCTTGCCACACTTGTTTCTACACTTGTGTAAGATTATTTTGGAAAGCTCTAGAAATAACTGGATGAGTTTGAGGGTGCTCAGAGGACCTAAGCTATATACTCCAGGCCATGAGCCAGCCAAATACAATTTAGTATGTTTCATGAGACCTATTTGTAACCTCATCAGAGTATAGAGAACATAAATTACAAGTTCTCGAGGGAGTTCTGTATGAGGAGCTGTAAAAATAAGTTATTGAAGTGGGATCATGAAGAAGCCCTTATCTTCCCAATGAGTCTGGATCTTAAGGTGGGGTTGGTGCCCCCTTTCAGAGTAGAGAGTACTCAGAAGAAGTTATGAAGTGGGTTGCATTGCACTCTCTTTATGGATATGGTGAGGGTGACCGCCCTACACCACTGTATCCCAGAAGACCAGGGAGGATGACCAATTCTTATCTCCCAGACTCAGGAGCTGAAACTCTATAATCTTTTTTAAAAATATGTTTTACTGATTATGCTATTATAGTTGTCCCAATTTTCCCCCTCTGTCTTCTTCCACCAGGTACCTGACATTCCTTCTGGAAATTCACACCCCCTTTGTTTATAAATTGTTTGGCTACTCCATTTCCTATACTGTTCTTAACATCCCCCTGCCTATTCTGTACCTACCAATTTGTACTTCTTAATCCCTGAACCATTTCCCCATTTTCCCCCTTACTTTCTCCCAATTGATAACCCTCCAAATCATCTCCATACATATGATTCAGTTTCTGTTCTGCTTCTTTGCTTAGTTTGTTTCTTAGATTCAATTGTGAATAGTTGTGAATTTATTGCCATTTTACTGTTCATAGTTTTGATCTTATTTTTCTTAAGTAAGTCCTTTTAACTCATATAATGGCTTTGTGATGATGAACTCATTTAGCTTTACCTGGTCTGGGAAGCACTTTATCTGTCCTTCCATTCTAAATGATACTTTTGCTGGATAGAGTAATCCTAGTTGTAGGTCCTTCCTTTTCATCATTTTGAACACTTCTTGCCAGTCCCTCCTAACTTGCAAATTTTCTTTTGAGAAATCAGCTGAGTCTTATGGGAACACCTTTGTAGATAACTCTGTGATTTTTCCCTTGCTGCTTTTAGGATTCTCTTTTTATTTTTAACCTTTGGCAGTTTTTTAAAAAAATATTTTATTTATTTATTTTTAGACACAGGGGAAGGGGGGAGAAAGAGAGGGAGAGCAACATTAATGTGTGGTTGCCTCTCAAGCACCCCCTACTAGGGACTTGACCCAAAACCCAGGCATGTGCCCTGACTGGGAATAGAACCAGTCACCCTTTGGTTCCCAGCCCACACACAGAACCACACCAGCCAGGGCAGCAGTTTTAATTATGATGTGTCTTGGTGTGTTTCTCTTTCTGTCCATCTCTGTGCTTCCTGGACTTGTATGTCTATTTTTCTTCACCAAATTAAGGAAGTTTTCTTTTATTTTTTCAATTTCTTACTCTTTTTCTTCTCCTTCCAGCAACCCTATGATTCAAGCGTTGGAATGTTTGAAGATACCTTCAGAGGCTCTTTGAACCTGTTCTTGTTTCTTTCTTTTATTCTTTTTTCTTCTTTCTGTTCTGATTGAAAGTTTTTTGCTTCTTTATGTTCCAAATCATTGATTTGATTCTTGTCTTCATCCACTCCACTGTTGTTTTCCTGTAAATTGTTCTTTATTTCACTTACTGTAAAATTCTTTTATGACTGAGTCTTTTTTATTCTGTTGAAGTATCCAGTAAGTTCCTTGAACAGTCTGGTTCCTTGACCAGTGTTTTGAACTCCGCATCTGATAGATTGCTTATTCCATTTCGTTTAGTTCTTTTTCTGGGGTTTTGTTCTGTTCTTTCACTTGGGCCATATTTATTTGCCTCCTCATTTTGGTAGCCTCCCTGTGTTTGTTTCTATGTATTAGGTACAACTGCCTTGATTCCTTGTCTTAATAGCTGGGCCAATTGTAGAAAAGTGCACCAGTAAGTTGGATGGAGTGGAGCCTTAGGTAATCATTGCCAGTGCAGGGCAACTCATGTAAACCAAGTTGATGGAATCCCTTATATAATGTCACTGCTCTGTGGCTCTGTGTGGGGAAGGGCTCATAAAGGGAACAAATCTGTTACCTGGCCTCAGGAGTTTTGTCCAGAAGCTGTCCCCTGGCACTCGCCCTGATGCCAGACACCAGTCAATTTTTCCCCATATGTCAGCTGCTGCCCCAGTGCTGGATCCCAGAGGGAGTGAATCTGTGTAAGTCCTAAGTCTGTTGTGGGCTCTTTAAGAGGAGACTACTGACAATCCCACAGATTCTTTGGCCAAGCCAAGCCCCATTGTTTTTTTTTTTTTAAGATTTTATTTATTTATCTTTAGAGGGGAAGGGAAGGTGAGAGGGAGAGAAATATCAATGTATGGTTGCCTTTTGTGCATCCCCTGCTGGGAACTGGCCTGCAACCCAGGCATGTGCCCTGACTGGGAATTGAACCACGATCCTTTGGTTCTCAGGCCCATGCTCAATCCACTGAGCTACACCAGCCAAGGCTGGTTTTCATAACTAGAAGTTATGGGGACCTAGCTTCCTGGCACTGGAACTCTAAGCTGGGTAGTGTGGTGTGACACTGGGATCCCTCACTTCTTAGGTATCCCTCCCAAGTTTTATCCACCAAATGTGAGTGTGGGACCATCCATTCCATGTCTCTGCATCTACATTTCTCTGTACCTCTCCCCTTGTCTCCACATCTCTACCCCTCCTACCCATCTGGATGAATATGACTTCTTTAACTCCCTGGTTGTTGGACTTTCATACCACTCAATTATCTGATGATTCTGGATGATAATTATTTTTTCATTTACTTGTAATTTTTGTTTTGGTTGTGTGAGAAGGTGAGCCATGTTTACCTATGCCTCCATCTTGACCAGAAGTCCCCCAAAACTCTAGTTTTGAGAATCTGGGAAAGGGTGGAACTGTCCATTAGGATCCACCTTGTGCCAACTTTAGAGGGTAAAGGAAAAGTATTTCTCTACTAATAACATTTTTTAAACCAAATGTGTGGTTTTTTTCCTGTATTGTCAAAACAATTTTGACACTACTTGGGGTTAGTACAGACTCCACAAGTTAAGAGCTCAGTTTCAAAACACTGTTTTCACTTTGTTCACCAGTCACAGGTGGTGAGTCTCCAGGTTACCCACACTTCTGTCTGACTTGACTATAAATCAGGGCTTCCCACAACCTCCTCCTAAGTTTCAATAATTCCCTATAATTGCTTAAAGAACTCAAGGAAGAACTTTACTATTACCAGTTTATTATAAAGGGCATAATAAGAATATAAGGAAACAGCCAGATGAAAAGTTACACAGGATGAGGTCCTGGAAGGGCTCTAAGCACAGAAGCTTCTGTTCCTGTGGAGTCTGTGGTGTGCCACCCTCCCAACATATTAAAATGTATTCTCGTTAACAGACCCAGAAACTCTCCAAACTCCTCTTTTTAGGCTTTTTATAGAGGTTCCATTACATAGGCATGATTGATAAAATCACTGGCTTTTAGTGACTAACTGAATATACACCTCCTTTCCCCTCTCTGAAAATGGACAGGTGGAGCTGAAAGTTTCAACCCACTAATTACGTGCTTGGTTCCTCTTGCAATGAGCCCCACTCTCCAAGAATCACCTCAGTTGGGTAGACTCTGGTATGTTTTTTTCCTCCATGGGACTAGCCAATATTCTTGCAGATGGTTCTGGGGCTTCTGAGTGACATCACTCTTTTAAGGTATCTTGGGTTCTTAATGTCACAAGCTTTAACACGTCAGAATTGTCATAACGGAGAGAGTTTGCATTGCATTTGCCAAGACCACTTATTTAAATAATTTAGCTCATTAACCAAAGGATAAATAAGGTCTATGTTTATTCTTCAATATAAGACATATAAATGACTGTTACACATCTTTGTAAGGCAATGAAATACAGCTGAATAAAATGATGTTCAGAAATAAAATATGTACATGAAATATCAATCACCACATTATGAATCCATTTTTATTTATTATCTACACAGATACACCTCGTCAGAAGGACCCACTGACATCTACCAGCTGAAACAACTACAAAGTACGTGTAAGGCAACAAATGAACACTCAGATATATGATGTTTGCTGCTCTTCTGAATAAGTAGTAGTTGAGTTGTAAGCCTTCATGGAAGGTGAAACTGCTTATATAAAGACCACTTATAAAAAAACATACCTGAATAAAGTGGAGCTAGGAGAAATATATAGAATTTCTGTTATGAGAAAGTGTAGACTCATGCTATGCAAGGGAGCAATCTTAATCTAGGAATTAACATCTAGTAAATCCAGAATTCAGTTTTATTTAGGAAATGAAGCAGTTTGCCTTTTGGAAACATAACTTTTACCCTATAAAAGGATTTTAGGGAAGCATCATAATGAATGTGAAGATGAACTTTGACTCTAACTTAAGAAAAAGAGAAAGAAGTAAAAAATAAAATAAAGAGCAAAAGTAAAGTTGCAACATGATGGCTGGGGAGAATTGAGGGGCAGTGGTGGTATACCCTGCACCCATGACCAAATTGCCAGAGAACAGAGAGCTGGGCTGAGTCTATGGAGAACAGCCAGGGAGGTGCCCTGGGTCTCCCCCTGTCACTACACTTTCAGAGATGAATTTTCTAAATGAGGTTCCCTCAACTGCCTGACAGCCAACTGAACAAACACAATGCACATATATGGGCTTCCTTCATCTAACTGCTGGGGTCAGGTACTGGGGCAGGAAGGACAAAAAAAGGAATGAAATAAAGAGCAAGACTCTCATTTCCCTAATATCAAATTCATATTTTGATTCTAAAATAAGAAAAAAATTGCTTTATTAATTTTCATTAAAATGACTATAATTTAAGTATTCACAACTCTTTCAAAACACATTCACATTAAAGTATGCCATGACAGTGGCAGCATGCCTATTTACATTTTTGAGGAAAGAAAACAAGGTAATATTAACTCAGGCCAAAACAACTAAAAAAGAAACTTACGGTACTCAACATGAGAATTATCCAATTTTAACCTAGAAATCTATTCCCCAAATTAGCTCAGGTGAGAATCCATTTCCATTTTAGAGATTTTTGTGCTACAAATGGAAGCATGAGCTCTTCCTCCCTGATTGTTAACTAGCAACAGATTCTGAGTAAATGCTGGCATCTTAAAAATTACAAATGTGGACATAATTTTGCCTTAATAGTTTGTGAGGTGTATTTCTCTCCAGGCAGTGGGAAGTGCCACATTAATTTGCTCCATTTACTAAAGGAGCAACTGCCTAATTCAAGTGAGTGAAGCCATGTAACCTCATTAAGAGGCTGGAGGAGAAATACAGGCTTTCAAATCCTAATGGATTCTTGGAAAACATTGATCACAATAGCCCCAGTCTAACCAGACTCAGCTTCAATGTGTCCATGCTGGTTGCCCCTCTGCTGTGAAAACTCCTTTGCCATCACAGTGGCAATCTACCAAGTTGGGACTCTCACTGGAGCAGCCACACATGGGTGTGGAAGAAGGCAACAGAATGAGCAGGAGACTTAAAGTTCTCCCCTTTCACCTCACTCTAGACTGTAATAATTAACTCTGCAATTCAAACTATCCTCTGCTCTCCTGTAAAAGGCACCCTGCTGGCATAAGGATGCCTCTTCATCCAAATGTGGAAATTCAAGGATCTAGTTTCAAAGTAGAGTCTCCTTTCTAAACCTTTAGTGAAAAAAATCACAACCACTAAATGCAGAGTCATCAGTGGATTCATTTAGCAAAGATATAATTCCTTTATCTGGCCTAAGCTGTGTCTTCCATGTGTGGTGGGGTTTGGATAAAGTTTATCTGCCAATGTGAGGCAGAATGGGAGCTGGATGCAAACTGCACATCATGCAAAAGACCTCTGCTCCATCTGGTAGAGAATGCTCACCACAGGACTGAAAAGCCTTCCATGTGGGCTTTCAAATCAGACCCTTGTGTCTTATTTAGCATTTGAGTAAATGCCAGCTCTCTGTGGCCTGAGTATTAATGTGTGTACTGGCTTATATTTTTCCAGACTCTATGAATACCATCGGCTAAAGATAGCACAGCAATATAACACTTCAGTCACAGGACCTTTTTTTAAAAGGAAACTAAATTAAACATTTTAAGCATAGTCACATAACAGGAACAGCACAAACCAACCTTGGATAAATGCATAGGCCAAAGGAAAAAAGAAATGCATCATAATGTAAGAGCCAAGGCTAGAAAAGAATAAGTTTTATAGCTAGCATGACCACTAAATTGGCATGTGGCCTTAACTAAATTAAACTTTTTCTTCTTTCTCTACTTCCTCTTTACCTTACACATGAAAGTAAGGATATTGCTCAGATAGCTGTTCATGGGCCTGCTATAAGGATTCACTAGGTATATATGAGAAATAATGGAGAAAAGCCAATACAAGTTAAAACTGCCCTCACTAATATAGCCACCACATTATTCTTATTTTATTTCATTGATTTGTGACAGAAAAAGCCTAGAATGATTTACAGCCAAAAATTAAGATGCTATTTTAGCGAATCCCAATAGAGTAGTTATTTGGAAACATAAAGTGTGAGGAAAGTGTAAGAAGCTGAACAGTGAGCTTGGTGTTGGGTGTGTAATTGGAGTTAAGTGTAACTTTGCATTGTGTCTTTTTCATAAAGAAACCATGCCACGCTTTATTCTTGAGTGGCTCTGTGCCTCTTTGTACCATACACAGTAGGTCTTATTTCCCTTATTAAATATTTGTAATAAAATGGTACAGGAGCTCAAGAACAAGAAGCAACTTCAACTGGAAATCCTGCTTGTGTCCAAAAACATGAGCAGAGGTGTCCCTATAACCTTTGATTTCTAATCCTCTTTCTTCACAACCATCAAACCTCATGAGACCCCATGTAGGTAGGTTCATGAGGCTTCAAAATTGTTTGAGTTTACTTGAAGACTACTTTTCAAGTCACTTCAACATTGCCAGCACAGCACTGTCCTTCCATCCTTCTACAGGATAAACAAGTCCCATCTTTTCTTGTCGACAAGTTCGGCATGAGGAAAGCTCTTATCACTGTTAACATTATTCCAAAGGTTTTTAAAAACCAACCATAAACATATATCTCTTGTAACACCTCTCAAAACCAGTCTATTTCACATGGATGAGTGTTCGGTCAGAAGAAAGCAGGGATGCATTATGAAAATGCATATTACCATATTCATGTGAAATAAAATCAGTCACTTGGGAGAAACTGATGCACTTGGAGGAAAATGCATAATAAGTGGAAGAATGTCTGATGCCTCTTGCTTCAGAATTCAAAGAAAGTTTACATTCCAGAAAGCAAATTATTTATTGATTGGATTTACCTAGTTTCAGACCATATCAAAATAATGAAGCCTAAGAAACTAAGTGTTCAATTCACTCAGAATTTTTTTCTGGTGATATAATTACCCTTTTGAAAGGCATAGTTGGAGAAAAGATTGAGAGTACTTTTCTCCCTCTAAATGCATCCCCCAAGTTTAAAATAAATTTACAGTATGATTGTGCGAGTACACTGAGAAGTAGCAGAAATAAGCACCCCTTGTCCTGTGACTAAAATCAAGAAATAAAAATAAAAATAAAAAACCCAAGATGGCAGGAAAATATCTTCCCAAGTGTGCATTACCACAGAGTATGGGAAAGTGAGAAAAAGGGTGTAGGGTTTGCCTGTACCCCTGGGACCAACGCACTGGGAGTCCCCCTGGAAGTGGGTGCTCTGAGTTCGAGGCAGCCCCCATTCCCCCAAGGCCACCAGTCATCGTGGAAGTCAAGGTATCAGAACGGCTGTTTTTTCCAAAAATCTCAAAGCAGCAGCAACCCCAGCAGTTTTCCTGCAAAAGCAAACAAAATATGACTCTTGTTAATTCAACAGGGCTTTTAAAATTGCAATTAGTTGGTGTGCCCTTGGGAAAACCACACATGATGTTTTTTTATAATGTATGTGTGAATGTGAGAGAGAAAAAAGAGACCCCTTGAAGTATTCCAAATCCTTACCAGAGTGGGTTTGGGCTTTTTTTTTTCAGTTTATGCAAGATATTTTAGTACTATTTGCCATATCGAAGGACAAGGCCTCTTTGTTCCCTCTGAAGCACAGCCAGCTCCCACAGTTGCTGCCTCCAGTCCATTCTGTCAGCTTGATCTGACATCAGAGTGAGACCGTGGGTCCTGCATGGGGAGACTTCCATTTGCTTTAGGACCACATCTGACCTGGGGCCCACACACCATTTGCTGCCTTTTATCATTCCTATACACTGAGGAGATGTCCTAAATTTACATCTCATGGGCTAGCAAAAGATGCAATGAAAACAGAAAGTGAAGTGCTACCATTTTTAGAGAGATTTTTAGAGTGTTTCCTCAATGCATCAAAAAGCCTTTAACAAACTGCAGGAGATTTATACGCCACAATTTACATTGTGAATTATGCCTTATTCCACAATGTAAATTGTGGGCCTGGAAGTCATACTTTTTCCACAGAAATAATTTTTCAACCACCAGATTTCTAAAATCAATATTTCTCAAAGTTGGTTTTACTTATAACATGTCTTGCCAAAAATCCCATCTTAGCCTAGCAGAGAATATTGTGCAAAATAATCTATTTTTTTAAATATAAGGCTGCTCCTGGAATTAATATTTTAAGCTTGTATGTTAATTTTTTAAAAAGTAACAAAGTAGACTAGGAAGCAATCACAATATGTGGACCTGTAACCACTCTCTCGCCTGCCTGTGGTGGGACCTGGTGACTTTCTACAGCAGATGGAACTGAGGAACCCAGGGAAGGAAAGCATGCAGCCCATGTGATTACCAGGGGTTGACCTGACCAAGTTCAGGGAGAGATCTCATCAAGTTATTCTAACAAAGATGGCACTACCATCTTTGTTTGCACTAAATGCACCAGTGTGACAGTTCAAATGCCTTCGTCTTTGTCCACTATATAAGTGTCACTGCCTGGACTGCCACCATCTTCCACAGCATTGCACTCAAAATACCAATTTGGTATAGACAGACTTTACCACCTCCCACCAGCCATTTCTTCTCATCTTCCCCAGCCACCTTGGCCACAGGCAAGCAATGCAACCTCCTGTCTCCCAAGGGATTCATTCCCACCAGGCTTCAAAAATGATGCCAGTGTTTATGGTGGGAAGGTGATTTGTGCCAAACATTTCAGGTTTGTGGTAACTGAGTACAAAACTATTTCTGCGGATAGGGTTTGGGAGGAGAGAGAAAGAACCACGTAGGCCCACTGCCTGTAGACTCTGGCACTCATCACTTATGGTGAAGGCTGGACTGTACCTCAGGCCCGAGAATATGCAGAGTCCTTTCTTTCTGCTCATTGTGACAACACACAAACTACCTCCAACTCTTCCCAAAATGTTAATATTCTTGCTTAAGCACAAGCCTTCATGTTGACTTTTCATAGATTTCTAGATAAGTGATAGGTTCATAAGCAAGCAACCCTTACATCAAAAGGTGAATCCTTTTCTAACACTGGTTTGTGACTTTTATTATGACTTATTGATTTATTTCTTCCCAATATTATGCTATAAAAGATTCAAGACAGCTAACAAGAATATACAAAGTCAAATAGATTAACAAAAACCTCAAGGCCAGAATAAATACAATTTAGAATAAAGGATTAAGAGCCAATGGGTCTCTTCAGACTGAAGCAGTTGTTGAGTGTCCAGGAAGAACTGGAAAGACCCTGGGCCATTGGGAGCTCATGAAGATGCTGGGTTCCACACCTACAGAGACACCTGCGAGGCTGACTATGGCCTCTGAGTTCCCATCCCCAGGCCAAGCCAGAGCCAGAGCCAGAGCCCAGCTGGCTGCCAAGCATTTGCTACCTCCTGTGCGCTCCTGTGATTCATTAATCCTGAGGATGGCCACATTTGATTACATAATAAAAAAGACCACAGGGCAGCAACAACACAGGTTCATAAATTTTAAGTCCTGTGTAGTTGTTAAAATTGAGTTGCAAAAAAGCCGTAGACATACTTTCCAAGATTAGGGAGCTGACTTGCTAGAGGATGAATGCCCCCCCCCCCAACAAGGACATAAATGTTGGGATTTTTAAGTCCTCTGCAATAAGTACGCTTTCTTAGACTTCTCATTTAGGGCATAAGTTGGGCTAGTTTATTGACATAGTAAAAGATATTCATGCATAAAACTATCTCTTACGAATTCCAACAGATTAAGGGAGAAAAAATGGGGGTTTTAAATTCAGAAACACCTGAGAGGATTACACTCTACCATTGACTAGCAGTATGGCCTTGGGTGAGTTATTTAGTCTGAGTCTTTGAGGTTTGGTTTACCTGTCTATGCAAAAAAGACATGACTTCCTCCAATATAACACAGTTGTGGTAAGGACTACCAGAGACACCTTCTGTTCAGTTCCTGGCACTAATTAAGCCCCCAATATGTTCAGGCCCTGGTCTCAGGGCTTTGCTTGGATAATCTCATCAAAGCCACTCAAAAGCTTAGGAAGTAAAACTATCTTCAACCCACAAATCCAGAAGCTAAAGTTTCTCTGCTAGAAAATGGCAGAGATAGGGTGAAAATATTGCAGTCTGATTTTTTTCCCCCATCCACCTCTGCCCTGCTTCCCACACAGTGCAAAGCACATTTGATTTCTCTTCAGGCTTGCACAAAGACCTCTTCAGGAAGAGACCCAAGACCAACCTTTCAATGGGCACCTTCTGTAGACTATTTGGTCACAAATTCCCGAGTATTGGAGCTGCAATTCTTCTTCTTCTAGGAAAACCAGAGACATTTTGGAAAAGATTAGAACTTTTTTCATCAGTTCCAGACAGAAAAACACTTGAGTCAATAACTTGCTACAGAGGAATTTTCTCTGTAGGAGAAATAACTTGCTACAGTAGGAAATTTCCTACTACAGTAGGAATTTTCTTTAAGAAAAGATCTTAAAGCCTATTACTAACAATCGTCTGATAGATACAATGACCTTCCTTAAAAGTCGAGCTCAAACACATCTCCCACTCTCCTCTAGTGTGCCTGTAATCACTACCCTTCCCTTCAGACTCAGGGATGAAGAGCTCAGCACCTAATCACACTTCAGTTTTACACATGTGTGTTTTGTCAACACTCCTTTCGACACACATTCACTTAGACAAAGCACAAGAGTCAAGACTGAAACTGGGAATGATGCAGTGACTACAAAGATGAGTAAGATACAAAAACTGCTTCTTTGAAAAATTTTCAAATCCAGAGAGAAGAGCTAAGTGCTATAAGAGAGGTTCAAGAAGACAGAGAAAGCATCTCCAGTTTGAGATTGAGAAGAGCCATGTTAAAGGAGGTGGCATTGAAAATAGGCCTAAGACAATTGCCATGATTTTTTTTGGCTGATCTAGCAGGAGCGGCGAAGACAAGACTGGAAATAGAGATCAGGCCCAGACTGTTGGGTGTGTCTGGTGTGCACAAGAGGGAACACTTGAAGATTGTTTGATCAGGAGTGATATGATCAGAGTTGTAATTAAAGAAATTAGTGTCGGTGAATTAGAGAAGGAAACCAGTAAAGGTTGAATATCAGTTCATGGGTTATTTTATTAGTTCAGTAAATTGAAAGAAGGTCATGAGCTAAGGGAGTAGCACTGGTAAAAGAAAGGGATGATAGAAGGCTTATTAACTAGCTCTTGCAGAAAAGAAACCAGGTTGTATTTGTTGTTTTTCTTCCTTTAGATCCAAAGCATTTATTGTCTATGGTAGATGCTTGCCAAGTTCTACTACATTGATAGTTTGGGAAATGCTTTGATCCACTCCAGCTGAGAACTGTCTGTTGGAGGATAGGCTTCGTTATCAATGGTTGGGGTCATAAGGCAGCATGCCCTCTTGAGCTTAATACAGAAGGCACTTTAATTTTTAAGAAAAAAGAATCATTTTAAATTTAGTGACTGAGTAGAGGCATGCTGAGTGATTAAGAAGTAGTAAGTGCTTTTAAGCATGAAATATCAAAGAGATTTTTTTTAAGTTTACAAACAGCTTTTAAAAAATATAATTAAGATTTAATAGTAAATAGTTTGGGAGAAGGGTTAAATTTTCACAATCAGCTTAAATTCTTGTTTTATAGAACATATCAGAATGAATATTTTTCCAAAAATGAGTCTTCTAGAACAGTTTAGTCTCAATATTTCATTAAAAAAGTAACATGTAGTAAGTTTGAATATTGGCTTTCAATAATACCAAAAGCATACAGTAAGTGCATGAGTTGTTCTGGAAACATCATGAGGCCCCTTTCACCCAGTAGCCCATTACCTGGTGAGATAGCAGAGGGAGGAAGCTCCACTCTGCCAGAGCCTGCCTGCCTTTGCTGAGATTCTGGCTCATTACTTGTACCTTGTGCGATCACATAAAAGTACTGAAACCCTGTCCTCAGTTTCCTCATCTACATACTGAGGATAACAGTGCCTGTTTCACAGGATTGGCATAAGGATTAAATGAGTTAATATTTGTATAACAGAACAGTGCCTGGAACAGTGCCATGTAATTATAATTTCATGATAACTAACTTGATTTATATAATGAAAAAAATTTTTAATCCTTACACCATTTTTGAAATATCTAGCCCCCTTAAGTACCAGCAGTTAGATAGAATAACAAAAAGGTGAGTTTTGTTAATGTTACATGGTTTAAAAAATATTTTTAAACACTCTCTAAAGTGTATAATGCCATTAATTATCTGCCATGGTTTCCATATTGTCCTACCATGTCAAAGTGTATTTAGACACCAATAAGCTTGGATAAAAACACGTTGGTGGAAAATTGGCCCAAAACAGGTTGGTAACCCTAATAAGCAATTTATGTAGTCTGGGTAAGGTGCCAACTAGGTAATAAGTCTATTTTTACTTGACATCAGTACCAATTATCAAGGAAAGGTATATTCAGACAGAAATAAAATTTAGTACTGATGCTGAATTTAGAAGCAAAGTTAATTTCAATAAAAATTGAATGTGGAAAAAATGAGTATCTGAAGCATAGTCATTCCAAGGTTTGCTGGTCAGTGGAAAAGCTCCATTCCCACACCCCAGGGAATTGGGGAGGGGGGGACAAGGAGCACAGGTGAAGGAAATAGAAGCGTTTCAAATGCATGCTACACCAGGGTGTGATGCAAGCATCTTAACTGATGCCCGGGCAGCCCTATCCTCAATAAACCTGAAGGCATAGATTGCTTATTTAAGCCTCTGAATGTATCTTGCCCAGTTGAATCTTCTAAATGTTTGGAAAGTTAGTTAAATGATACACATCTGCTTCTGTGTCATTTGTCATATGATCCACAGTTATTTGGATGGAGATAGTCTAAAGGAGGCTATTGTGGTCATTCAGGTGAGGGGTGTCTGGGACCAGGATAACCATGGGGGTGTAGAAGTAATTAGGAAAAAAGAGGTAAAGAACTGGGAGGCAAACTAAACATGAGATGAATGAATTGATGGAAAAAGAGTTAAAAAGACATCCTGGGGTCTGGTTTAGACATTGAGTAGGGGTTGGTCTGGGAGGATGGTTGAGATTGAGTTGAGGTGGGGAGCTAGTTCAGTTTAGGAAAAGATCCAAGAAGAAATGTTCAGTACACAGGTGGATATATGTACTTGAAGTTTGGGAAAGAAATCTGTGCTAAAGGGACAGACAGGGGACTCAGAGTATAAACGGTAACTAAGGCAATGAGAATAGGTAGGAAATTTATTGTAAGAAGTTATTGGGCTCAATTATTCTCAACAAATAATGTAGTAATTTTCATTTAGTCTCTGGTAAGAGTATCCCTTCACATATACTTATAATATATTAATAGTTATGCCAATGAACAACAATAGAAATTGTTTTAAAAAATACTTACAGCAGTCTGAGTATTATAGTTTTTGATGCCCAGAGCAGTTTTAAATGCCCAGGTAAGCATAAAAGTTAGAATTCTTTCTGTTTTAAGGAGGCATAAAGCACATTACCACATAGTCTCTCAAACTTTGTCTGTTTATATAATCTAGGCTATATGTGTGTTTGTGTGTTGAAGTATGTATGCGTAATATAGTTTATGGTGAATACAATGATTTAATAATAAACATAACACAATTCACATTTATTTTTAAAAACACAAACTGCTTAATAGAAGCATTTTAAGCAATTTAACACTAGCACAAGATTTGAAAGCTATGAGAAAAAGAATTAGAAATAACCTCTTTTAAGGCTAAAATGCCTCTAGTGTATAAGCATCAAAAGACTGAGGCCAACTAAAAGAGCAAAAACAAAGAGCCTTAGGTTACCTGTGTTTTGAGTCTGGAGTGGAGCTTGTGGTCTGACAACCAAGGGTGCTTGAGAGCTTCACTTGCACTTATTCTCCAACTACAGGGAAATTCAGAGGGTTATTACTGAGAACACACCTAATGAGCCCTGCATCTGCCATTCAACCTCAGCTCTGGACACTGCCTTTGGGGAGATCAGAGGCCAAATGTTAAATTCAGCATCAGTCTGACTTCTCTGGAGTTATTATCAGTGTTGTGTAGGTTACTATTTAATTCAACAAGGGTAACAACATGGGTAAGACAAAGCAAGGCAAAAAGTTTAAAATTCTTGTTAATAACAAAACATCTACTTTTAAATATAATGTGGATGAAAAGGGGCCACATGTTAAACCTGACAAGCTCATGGGAGGCCTGAAATGATGGCCTTACAAACTTGGAGACTTAAAGTAACCACACATGATGCTCTATATTTTAAAAACTTTCTAACTAAAAGCAGGTCTTGGAGAGAAGTCATGGCTTAGCCTGGAATCTTCCCTGACAAAAGTCAGTCTTTACCTTAATTGAGCTTGTCTATTGTCTTTTTCCATCTATGACAACACACCTGTGTTGTCAGATTTCCTTGTTCTGGGCCCCTCAAAGCACAGGCACCACACCAGAGGGAGACCACAAACCCCCTCATTGTTATTGTTATCATGTTAACTGTGACTGTTAACTATCCTTTTACCACTTGTGTAAAAGATATATGTGTCTATCATTTTATTTTTTTATCCAATCCCAGAGGTTTCCCTGCTTTGTATTTCCTGGTTGATCACCCAGTGGATTTCATGTAATCCACTTGCACCTTCTCTTTTGATTGTAATAAATAAAATAAGGTGCAAAAATGTCATTTTCCAGAGCATTTTCTCAATCCTTTGCTTTCCTGCAATTGTTGTCAGTTTGGTCCAAATAAACTCATAAAAATTCTTATAGGTTTAGACATTTCTGATGTTGACAATAAGTAGCCATTCTTGGTGTAATGTCTAAGTTTCATAAATTGAACTTCTATCATTCAGTTGAAAAATAAATATACATTTATTATTGTAAGAAGAAAGTGTTACAATAATTCTTGATTCCTGAAAAAGCAATTTATGTATTAAAACTGTTGAATAATATGTATTACTAACTTTTTAATTAAGAAGTTGTGAAGACTTAAACAGAGAAATAGGTGGAAAGTTAATGTAAGTACTGAGAGAGAGTATTTTATATTCTAGGTAGTGGTATTTGACGTTGGCCTTCAGTTCAAGTATTGACCTGAATACTTAGCCAGTTGTCACTGCCCAAATGTGTATCTGTGGCCCCACAAGTATTAAGGCAACCTTCAGACTGAGGAGCTGTGTGACCACTTCACTGTTTGCAGCCTGTAAAATAATGGTGATAATACCCATGCACCACAGGACACCCAGATGACTAAGTCGGATAACACACAAAAGTATATAACAGGTCCTCAAATAATGTCATTTTGGTCACTGTCATTTCCTTATAATGTTGAAAAGAAAAAAATCACTGTCAGCTGGGGCTACTGTCTGTGGGGTATACCCTCTGTCCCCACATCTGCGAGGGTTTTCTCCAAGGACTTTGGTTTCCTCCCACATCCCAGAGCTGTGCATGTGAAATGAATTGGCATGTCTATACAGTTCCAGTCTGAATGACTCTGGGTGTGTGTTTGATGTGTCTACGATGAAAGGGTGTCCAGGGTGGGTCCTGCTTGCACCCTCAGCTGCTGGATGGATTCTAGCCACTTTTGACCCTGAAGTGGAATAAGTGGTAAAAAATTATCACTGTGTTTTTATGCATCTTTCTTAATGTATGTATAGCTCACCTTTATTTTTGGTATTTTGGATCATTATTTAGAAGTTTGTTGATGCTTCTGTGACCAGAAATATGTCATAGAAACTTAACTCTTGTTTATATCAATTAGCCTATGGTAAACCTGGTTTTGTTATATGTTGTTTTGTTTAAAGTTGAGTTTCCAAGAACCTATGAATGACAGTAAGTGAGGACACACTGTATCTCTAAATATGTTCTCAGTAAATGTGTATTTCTCATCTACCAAAGATTTGTTAGTTTTCCCTCTTCACTGCTTGGCATTCAGAATTATAAATAATAATGGTAACATCAGATTTTCATTAATGTGCATTTCCATTAAAAATAAAACCCATGTCTGTTCATTATCCCTCCTCTAAGACTGAGACCTCAGCCTGACTAAGTCCTTCTTATCCTTTATGACTCAGTTCTGGCCCTTGTCAATATACTCATTTTTCATTACCCATGTTGTATTATATATTTTTAAAAAATATGTATCTCTTCTAATAGATCATAAGTTACCTAAAAGCAGTAACTAGGCTTTATACATCTGCCCTCAATGTCTGAGACACATTCCCTGGCAGATTATGGGTAATTAATTAATTGCTTGAGGAAAAGAAACCTCTGTGTGTCAGGCACTCCCCAGACCCTTCCCCATGTTGTTACCCGCCCCCCACTGCACCTTGCTATGTAGTGGCTCACAGTCATGTATATTAGTAACTTAAAAGCCCAGAAGATCACAAAGGAATAAAGTAAATATTGTCAGCCCTGAGAATCTTAACTACCTACTGTAATATGTTTTATATGTAAAATAGTGTGTTTGCTAGGGTAATGGTGATGTCCTTTCCTTATCTGTAATTCTAAAATGCAAGCCCACTCTTCATCCACTGAATTTTAAGTGAATGTTGTTTTAGCACTGACAGAAAACAGAAAGCAATGGTATAACAGTTAAGTGCATAACCTTGGGGGAAGGTATGCTTGTGTTTGATTACAAATTCTACCACTTACTAGCTGTATGATCTTGGGCAAACTACTGAGAGTTTTATGCACAAAATAGTAATGATAATTTCTACCTCATAGAATTAGATGAGGATTGAAAGAGATAATGTCTATAAAGTTCATGGCATAGTCTAGCCCATCGTAGGTTCTCAAATGAAATGATAGTCAAATGTTCAGTTCCACAGAGCTGTATATGTGCTTTGTAAATGTGAAAGGCATCATGGAAATAACTTATACCAAACCCTTCATTTTGAGGCTGAGTCCATGGATACCCAGCAAGAGCCCCTGATTGCTAGAGCCGTATTACAAAATTCAAAGGAGGGATAATATGCAACTCCATTCAAGCCTCATTACCAAAGCAGTCCCATATATTAGTAAATTTGGTTAAGAGCATCAAACCCTCCCTATTTACAACTTTGCACAAGCATCAGATATTTTACTAAAGGAATTCAATAGTTATCTGACATGAACTCTAATAACCCTGGTAGTATACTGCTCCTCTATTACCCCAGCTTCTTCCAGAGCCCAGAATGAACTTGGGTTACCTTTTCTCCTTAATTAGAAGCTTGGAGAGGAACTCCTTGGCTTCCTCTGAGATGTTTTGAAATTCTTCCTCCTCCAAGTCCCACCTGCAGGCCAGGATGTTGTTCAGGGTCTCAGCATCATTATCACCCAGGAAGGGGGACAAACCACTAAGTCTACAAGAGACAGGGTCCAGAATGAGTATTTTTAAACAGCTTCCAACTTTTTACAGAGAGGTTGCTTTATTTTTTGGTTTTGTCATTTAAAACTTAAATAAAGCAAATAACCTAAATTTAAACATAATTTTATCATATATTTTTTCAATGAAAAAGATGCTTACCACCCCCACCCCCATTCCTATTAAAGAACTTCAGCTGCATCTAAATGTGCACTTCACAGAACAGTACAATTTCTCTTACAGCATTTACAGAGCTGTGAATGTCTATCATACATGCACATGGAAAACACCACAGTGTCACCTCTGAGGACTAAAGCCAGCATTGGTCATTTAGGAGATCAGGACATAGGGTTTGTTTGTTTGTTTTTTATTTTCAAGGCATTGAGTGGTGTCCTAGGATTTAAAGTGATCAATGAAGAAGACATACATTTACTTTTTCAGATGATGTATAAGGAAAGAATTTACTCCTACACCCCCCAGGATTCAATGAAGCCTAGAAAGTAACTGAATATGGTACAAAATTATTTATTTTTAAAAGACCTAAATTAGAGCTCTTAGTCAAAATAGCAAAACCTCACAGAATAGGCATGATGATTAAAAATAAGTGTCAGAGAGATTGGAAATCTGCTTACAGCATATAGGCAATGACCCCCACACTCCACATGTCAGTGGGAAAGGAAACAAAATCATAGTTCACAACTTCAGGGGCAAGAAATTCTGGAGTTCCAAAGTTCACCTTCAGCTTTTCTCTGGGTTTGTATCTGGAATTTAGGGGGAAAGTAAAAGGATGGAAAGTGTCAATCAAAAATTATGGATATTGAAAAGATATATTCTATAAAAAATAACCAGCAAATTTAGAATAAATAGACTTTAAAGGAAATCACATAGTGTCAAAAACTTGTGATAAAGTTCTGAGAGTTTTAAGTCTCACAGTAAAACGTTAATAACCTGAAACAGTTGTGAGAAACCACTCAGAATAATTAAAACACCTGAATTATAGAATGTGAAAAAGAAAAACTTACATGACCCTTGACATATAGATGCATTGACTAAGCCTTTATTAATGAATAAGTGAAATGCAATAGTTTATAACATCTAGGTTATATTTATCATTAATGTGTTGCAGTTCATGTGAATTCTTGTTCCCTCAAGAACTTAGATGTACCAGAAGTCTTTGCAATATTCTTTACACTACTAATTTTTTTCTTCATACAGGTGATTCTTTTAATTAATTTTTTAAAGTAAATCTCTTCACAGATGGAACAAATATAAATGACTAAGGTAGACTTACAAATTGTAAATTAATGTTTTCAAATTTAATAACATTACTGTATTAGGTTTTAACTTTTCTATTTTTCTTGCATGCACTATAGAAACTTCTAAACATTCAAATCCCAAAGTCAGAAAAGAAAGCTGAAACATAATTTTTGTTAAGTTAAATTTAAATGAGGATATGAAACCAATGGGTATATCTATCAAATTTATCTTTACAAAGAAAGAGGACCCATGCTGCCTAACTTCATTCACACACCTATGTTTAAATGGACATACCTTCTGGCCAATCCAAAATCAATAATTTTTATTTGTTTAGTATCCTGATTCACACACAGGATATTCTCAGGCTGCCAGGAGAAAGAGACACATTAGCAATGAAAACAACCATCGTTCACTCAAATTGTCCTTGAACCACAACTAAAAATACAGTGATGCTCAGGAAAAACATATCAGGCCTTTCACTTTGGAACTGGCTTGTCTGTGTGGGTATTTTCTCTTTTAATTATGTGGTAGATGAGGTTTTGGGTACTATGCCAAACTTGCATTACCCTGACTGTTCCCTTCCCTGGTTCTGCAGTTTACCATGATGTGTGGGCTCAGGCAGAGGCCTTCTTGAGGGAATGAAAAAAAAAAAAGGAGGCTGCTTCAGTACTTTCTAAATGCACTGGTGGGAGGTGTCTCAGGCTTGAAATCTGCCCCTTTAAAATTATTGAGTACAAATTTCCCATTCTTGGAAGGATATTTTACCCGAGGATTTATGAGTTCTAAGAGGAATGACCTGATTCATTCAAACAGCCACATTGAATATGCAATATAATGTGAACACTCCTGACCTCCAAATTTTCCTTTGTGCTTAGTCTATGGCAAAGTCATATGTCAAATGAAGGTTTTCATTTTTCATTCTCTGCAATCCCAAAGTTTTTCTGAGTTTGGTCTCCAGGCCTGAAACCCTTGACTAAATGTTCCCTTAGAGTTTGACTCCTGTAAGATTTTGCTCTGCCCATCTGACAGCTTTGAGATGAACAGGGAGAAACATAGATAGGAGCGCTGTAACTGAGTGTTTACAGAATGTCTTACAAACATACCTACACTTGTTAGGACTGAAAAACTCAGGTCAGAAATATATAAGAGATTTAATTTAAAGCTAAGATTATTCATAAAAGAAAAATTTTCAAAAAATTGCCTAGAATTCTCAAGCTCTAATCTATCCCTTCCCTTCTTTGACTGCTGTGGGGCATCGGCTGACCCATTGGATCCCCAAAATCTCTTGTCCCATCTTTTAGGTGGGATCCTGGCTGCCCTCCATCCCCATCTGGATGGAGAGAAGTTCAAATGAGATCAGAAACTCTGAAAACACTTTATGAAATAATATAGTCCATTTGGTTAGGTATAATGTCTTTGGAAGCTCTTTTCTAAAATATCTCTAAAACAGATGTCTATGAGTTAAAAACTTTTATAGAGAAGTGGATGTTATATAAGAACATTTGGTTTTATGCTTAAATAGCTGATCAACCATGTATAAAGGGGTCCAGTTGTCAAAGACTACTATGACATAAAAAATGATAGAATGTAAAGAAACAGCTTTGAGGGCACATCCAAAGTTAATTTTTTTCTAATTATGGATAAGATTTATAAACTACAAAAAAAAAAGGAGACCATTTTTAAGTCACCTATAATCTCCTCTACATATGACAAACACTCTTAATATTTTTGGCCTTCTTCCTTCCAAGGAGCTTTCTGAAAGGCATGACTGCTCATTAATGACCCATCCAGCTGTCTCCTTTATTATTATCTTTACATACAACCCATAACTAAAATTACTCATTTTCAATCAACATTATGAAGCCACATATGGAGTTGTTTGACTTATGATGGGTCTGGTCCTAGTTCCAGTTGCCAATCAAATCCCTTTAGGAATATCTGTAGAATATCCACAGTCAATGAAATGCTCCATGAAAACACACATTATGAAACTCAGTTCATAGCCAAGGGCTTTGCTATCAATTTTTAACCTCTCACTTTTTCATTTTATATACCACTTACTTCTGCCCTGTGAATGCAAAAGGCAGTACACATAAATCAAGACAGTGAGGGAAGCCACGTTACAAGAAGATGGGCCCATGGGACACTTTTTAAAGAGGTTAAATGTATTTAGCTCTACAACCCCTAATGACTTACCATAGACAGTATGTTATATGGAATACTTTATCCCACTGCCATGCTGTGCAAACAGGGAAATGAGCAAGTGACTGAGCCACACAGGAGATGCACTTCATGATGCTCAGCCCCAATATCAGAGCTGGTCAGAGTTATTGGCTCTGGGTCTTTCATTGGTTTAACTAAGTACAGTTCCAAGGACTTCATAATGGGAGAAAAATCAAAGGGAAAGGGTCATTAAATAAGGGAAGAAATGAAGGCATCTTGCATCCCAGCTGCTCACAAAAACTTTTCACTGTGTTGTCCAGCCCCATCACCACCCCTTTGTGTTCCTTGGCATTTTATCACTACTTTTCTAGCTGTTCTATATCCCATTCTGCCATTGGTTTCTCCTTAGTACTCTAGCATGCCCACTGAAAAACAAGTCCCTAAAGTCCAGAGCTTCCTACTGGGGACTCTAGGAGAGCTGACAAGTGTGGCAACTGCTAGAATATTTTGAGTTAGTAAAATTCTCCCCAATACTTAACATACTATGACAGGAACACAACAAAAGTACCACACTGGTGATGGTGGTGGTGGTTTTGATTCAAAACTTTTAGGAAGGAAATGATCTCCTATGCAGGTTACTTTAACACAGGCAAGTTAGGAGAATCTGAATAGCAGTCTCTAAAAAAGGAGGCATACAAATATTAAGAGGTGACAGAATTTGGGAACAGAAAAATTAGTTTAAGAATCTGAATTTTTATTAATAAATATGTACCTAGTGACAGAATCAGTGTTCCAGTCTAATATCTGGTATCTGACAGGGCCCTCTGATCCACAGGAAGGGAAAGGTTGGGACCAAAGCATACTGTACCTTTAGGTCCAAATGGAGAATGTACATCTGATGCATGTGTCGTATTCCCTCACATATCTGCTTGATAAACAGGATGGCATCAAGCTCGGTCAGATTGTAGTTGTCATCGATGATCCGGTCAAACAGCTCACCTCCATCCACACTGCAGAGGGAAGAAGAGTGGAGTCCTGAGTCATAATTCTTTCATGAACATGTTATATATGAACATGTTTTTCTTGCAGTTAAGCTTTTTTAACTCTTCCAAATAGAGACATTCACACAGTTATTTCTCTGCCTTCTTTGCTATCTCAGTTAGATGACTCTTGGGTTGAAGGACCTTGTCTTATTCACCATCAATTTCACAAAATCTCCAACTCCCTTTCATCCAGTGGCTACAGCTCTGAGGTGAGTCCACACCTCCCATTTTCTGACATACATGGAAGATAAAGAGGACTTGAAGAAGACAGAGAGAAAAATTCCAAATACCAACTGACTATTAGGCAGTTTACCTTCAGACTAATTTCAGTGATAAAGTGCTTCTATGTGGCTGATGCTAAATATTTTGTATTCAAAAATTCCTTATTGAACAGTAAAAAAAAACCAAAATGAGGGAGAAAAATGAACTGAATCATATTACTGATACAGTGTTACTTAGAAATACCCACCTTCTAACTAAACACGTATTTAGTTTTTATAAAGCTGATTTCAAATGGAAGTTTCTTAGCCCCGATTATTAAGAGTTTGACATGAAACTTGTATCAGTGATTAGGTTGAGAGTGAAATGCAGTTTGAAAATCACTTTCTTCCTGGTTAACCAAAGTAATATTTAAGCTGGATTTTTTTACAGTATAGCTTACATATAAAGTTAGATATATGTTGTCATCCAACTTCTTATTAATAAAATTATATATAAAGAGATTTATTTCTAAATAATTTTCTTTCTGAAACTCATAAAATTATCTCATACACACAAGTCAAAAACCGTGGTGTACCAAGAATGGATCTAGTAATTTCTGAAGTGAGACAGAACTACACCCTGTGGTCACCAATGCTGTGAGACTCTCTGAATGTGTGTGTGTGCACAGCTATAAAGAAAAGTGGAAGAGGGGGAGAAGGGAACACATACTACTCCATGACGAGGACAATGTCATTCTTAGACTCGAAGGCATCATAGAGCTGAATGAGGTTCACATGATCCAGCTGGTTCATGACAATGATCTCATTCTTCACTTCATCCTGAGAAGAGGGAGAAATGCTTAGTGGGGTGAAGACAACAGCAAGAAGAAAGCCACATCACATGGCCTTTACCTTATCCTTCCTGCTTCTGGTCTTGATAATCTTAGCGGCCAGCTTCAGACCTGTTGCTTTCTCTTCACACTTGTGAACCTGGCCAAAGCGCCCCCTGCCAAAGAAGAGGATGAAGTTGTATCATGGGGCTCTGTCTCCACCAGCTCTGGCTTCAGTCACTGCCAAGTACACCAGTCAGTTTCCCCAGGCATTTCTCTTTTTGAGCATGCAACTGCTGTAGCCAATAAACTTCTGCAACAGTGTCAAGGTGTGATCTGTGGGTCCCCAGCATCAGAATCTTCTAAGGGTGGGAATACATGTTGCCCGGCTCTACCCCACACCTACTGAGATAGGAGTCTGAGGTGAGGCCCCATAATCTGTATTTCACAACATTCTTTGGGTAATTAATATGCACCCTAAAACTTGAGAACTCTGTTATGGAAAAATGAGAATCATTCTGAATACATATGAATGTAATACTTTGGAAACATGTGAACAATACAGGTTGTAAACAGGCACATCAAATTATTTTTTAATACTGCACAATAAATAAAAAATAATATTACATAGAGACACATATAATAATAACTACATATTACATAATTATCTATAAACTTTTTGAAACTTTATTCTGGATATAAAAGTATATATAGACATTGTAAAATAATTTTTTACAAATTAATCATACACAGAAATGCACCCTCATCAACAATTTTTAAATCTGACTTGCTTGCTTTGATTCTTGATTTAGAAAAATAGGTCAAACACTGGTGCCTGCCTGTGCAATGGTGGCTATCACAGCAGGAGCAACCGGGAAGTTTCCCTAACAACATTGTCAACTTAAGGCCACTGAATTCTTAGAGGACTGCAGAGGTGAGGGTTGACAACAACCAGCAAAGGGAGGGTGATGACTACAACCACATTCCATTCAACTCAGCTACACACTGCAGGCAGAAGCAGGTGTGTCCATAAACATAGCCAAGTGATACCTTCAACTCCAGCCACCATTCAGACGTTCTTTACTGGAACACATGAACACAGTCAGTCCCAGGAACCTCGCATATGCCTGCTGATTAAGAAAATGCTTTTTTCTCTAGATTAGCAAAAGCCCCCAGAACTGCCTGGCCCATCAGAGGTTTGATATCATGTTTAACTTCAGCACTACCTCAACTGTCTCGCATGACTTATTCTGCAAGTGCTTTGAATGATTAAGCTGCCTCCTCCCAGTATTCCTTCTGGTCCACCATACCAATAAATTTCTCCTCCCTGAATATGTTGTGTTGAGATTATAAATACTCCCACAGGTTGGGAGATGAACCCCAGGAAAATTCAGGGGCCTGCCACCACAGGCAAGCTTTTTGGAATCCAGCGATCCTTTCCCAAAAGTGAAAAATAATTTGGTGCATCTGGAAATTCTTAATAGTGAAAAGGAGATATGGTAGTTTATGCTCTCTTGCACAATACACATTTGATTGTGTTCTCCTAACTCATTTACTGCTGTGGACCACTCTGCCTGGTTTTAGGAATTGTAAATCTACCTCTTGTGGCTAAGGGCAAAATACAACCTTTAGTATGTGATCACAGGAGACAAAGATTGTTTCTGATAGGAAATGCTATGCTGCCTCAGTTTCCTCTCTCTGCCCCCAAAGCTTGGTCGGAAGTCAATGATGGGTAAGACCTCTCACAGTGGGGGGCAACCTAAGCCAGACTCAATCACTTGGGAGGCCATCATGGAAGGACTCGGGGGGGCTGCAACAAAGAGGGAGCAATGGGCTCTCGCCCCCTCGTCCCCCCAACTTTGACAAAACCGAAGTCCCCATGTCCTCTGAAAGAAACGCTTTTTTGCTCTAATCCCCTTAAGCCTGAATACCTGATGGGGAGGGGTGCAGCTCCTTTCCTGGCTAGAGTGTGTCCTGGGGAAAACTCTGGCAGCACAAAGACTTTCTGATAAACCTGTGAAATCTGCTCTGCTAAGAGTGCTTTCATTCATATGTTAAGGGTTCGAGCAGGAAACCCTAAAACTCTGTTCCTGACAGACTCTGACTGATACTAAGCCCTCAGATTTCTTCGAAATGTTATCTACTGTTTGATCATTGCTGCCCTGTACGTCTGTGTATTACAACCCAATAAAAGTCCCTAGAGGAGGGGGCTCAACACCTTTTTCCCCTGAGAAACTGGCCACTGCTCACAGCTTTTTTCCTCTGGGAAAATAGCCACCTTTCCTAACCAAGCAGATCACATCATGTCTCAGTCATGTTTACTTTCATCCATGGCACACGGGGGAGACTTGAAAGGAAAGTCGCCCCCACAATTTAATATGGCACCAGTTTTGAGCACAGCCCAGATGAGAGATGACAAGCAGCTGGTCCAGACTGCACGGTGACCCAGAAGATCCAATGCTGCCCAAATGGGTGGAACGTAACTTCTTAAGCAACCATTGACAACCTTCTCCAGAAGCACAGCACCAATCCATGGACTGTTTCAAAGCCTCTTCTGCCAAATAACTGCTCTCCTTTAGAGAAGCAGTTGCTAGCTTGCTACTGAAGTCCCTGAAGACACAAATAAGCTGCTTCAGGCAACAATACTTCAGACTCCACAACACCTACTCATGTTTCAGAATTCCCGCTGCTCCCTCAGCTCATCCTCACAGTCTCAGGGGGAGTTCTCCACGATCAGCCAGCTAAGGAGGAAAAAGTTCGGGTAGTTCTATGTGGCAAGGGACAAAAGAAATATAGAATAGGAAGAGGAAGAAGAAATTTTACAAGTATCAATCATACATCTGATGGCCAATTGCAGAAATATGCATTAGAGTAGCTATAGATATTTTCCAATGTGCTGTTAAGTAAATTTTGTATATATTTGTATAAATTTTCTGCTTTTTCATAATTTATGATTTAAATTACAAGATATCGTGGGGAGATTGTGACTGAAGTTGAAGAGGAAGAAATATCCCTGGTAAGGGTCTCGATCCCTGTTGACTTTACTCTTGTTTCTTCAGGGAAAGACTGTGCATTTAGATGTCCTTCAAATAACTCCTGTGAATAAAATAATTGACTGAATGGATAATAGTAATGAACACAATAACAATGTAAATGGAAAACCAATAATGATGAAAATAATTTAGCAAATACTTCAAGAAATAAAGTGTTCACTCATTTCTACAGCTTATCTCTCAATTTCCAAGCTTTGAACAACCTCTCAACCTTCTGGTGGCTCATCCTGGGTTTCTCTCACTTTCAGGAATTGCAACAGGGAGGCAAAAGAACAATTAAATGTGGAATTTAGTCAGTCATCAAATCAACCTTTCTGGCATCAGCGATGATTTTCAGAAATGGTTAAAATCTCTTAAAATGTTTGTTGATGATAGTTCTGATTCTCAAGTTGAGACTAGCAAATATTTGTGAAACTCTCAGGATCCATCTCTTTAAAAGTTCTCTTCTATTGTTTAAAGTATGCTAAAACCAAGCATGACTCACCCTCCTAAAATTTCTGTTCTGCTCACGGTATAAAAACTGTTGATGGCTGTCTGTTTGGCTGTTACAATCCGGTGATGAAAGGGTGCAGGAGGAGCCAGGCAGTCATCTAGAAGGTGAGAGGGAAAGAAGGGCCATCTGTTAAGCAGTCAGAACTCTTTATTGCACAAGCATGGGGCCTCAGAGTGAAATTTTGTGCATTTAATAATAAAATACAACAGGCCATCTGTTTTATTCCTAATGATCTAGGGAGTATAAATTTTCACCTCATGTTATGATATGTGATTCACAAAGGTGATACCTGACATCTTTGAGAAAGAATGTCAGGACCAGTTAATCTATGGTTCATACTATCTCAGGACAACTTTTAGAAATACTAAAATAGCTTAAAATCTTCAACCTCAATACAGTGCAAATAGGTTATACTTCCAGGCCTGAGGCTATTTAAATTCAAACATGAAATATTATTTGTTCCATTTTTTAAGAACCACAAATGTAGTCCATTATTTTAAAGCAAAAAGAGAAAAACAAAATGTTCCTTCATGTTAGTGAAATGTTTGATATTATTACATATTATTTTACAAAATATTTTAGCCTTTATGTAAGATACACTCAAGACATAACCATGAATTTGTTTTCTGGCTGGAAATAAAAGGCCCAGTAAAAATTACTAAAGTATATGTTCCATGGCTTTCAAATTTCTCCCACTTTCTACCTTCTATCCTAAGTGTTTAAACTATGGTTCACCTCAGGAATAGTTCTAAAATACAAAATTGTATTCTTCCGGTATTCTTTTCACTTTTCCATGTATACTATTGTTAAAGTTTGCTTGCTATGAACCTATTTATTTCCCCATTTATTCGTTATTTAGCATCTATTGCATATACTTTCTTTTTTTTTTTTTTTTTAAATATTTTATTTATTTATTTTTCGAGAGAGGGGAAGGGAAGGAGAAAGAGTAGGAGAGAAATATCAATGTATGGTTGCCTCTCATGTGTCCCCTGCTGGGAACTGGCCTGCAACCCAGGCATGTGCCCTGACTGGGAATCGAACCGCGATACTCTGGTTCACAGGCCCGCGCCCAATCCACTGAGCTACGCCAGCCAGGGCTGCATATACTTTCTTACATACATAAAAAAGAAACAAAAAGAGGTGAATAGATAATAACTTTGTTTTCAAAAGTTTATATTTATTCAGCATATAATTTTCAAATACTTGTGTTAGGCACTCTGCCAAGTGTTAATATTTTGAATTGAGATAATATAAATCTCTGGGAGTCTGATTTGATATAGAAATTCACCTCCCACACCATAAAGAAGTCACAAAAGAATTATGTTGGTGGCATTCATCTCTTCAGATAAAAAAATGATAGAGTTATATTCACAAATGGCATCAATGTGGCATAATGTCTCCTTCAGGCTGTTAGGCTCAGTAAAATTTAGTTGGAAATGCTCACTGAAGAGGTTAAGAAGCTTGAAAAGGCTGAAACAAATCCATTTCCTAGCCAATGGGGTCACCAAATCTCGCTGTCTCAAGGTCTGAATTCCAGTGGACTCCAGGGGTTGGCCTTGTGAGCTCCCCTGGACTTGTCTGGTTTCCTGCGTCCTTCTCAATGTGTGTCCTTCAGCTGTCCCTGCTATATCTGTTCTGCACATTTTGCTGTCCTCTTTGATGAATTGTTCTTCCATCATGCTCTGCTTACTACTGATAGCATGCTCTGTTTGTTCAGCATTCTGGAAAATGGGTCTTATTGCTACATTTCCCAGGACTCGTGATGTAGAAATGGCTTTTACATTGCTGATAGACCTGGAAAATAAAACTCAGCTGCCCCTCTCAAAGTTTTGGTCAAATGGCTAAGTAAAGCTGCCTCAAAATGGTGTTTTGATGAAGGGTCTTAAGCTTTATGACAGACAGTTGGCAGTGTCAGCTTTGGGGAATAAAATATAATAATATGCTTCCCTATCAGATCTAAGCAGCAAAATGAGGATCACAGAGAATCTCACTAATGACTTCATTTGGAGCCTAAATTATTCCATTGGCCCTTTACAAAAGTAGTCATTTCATTAATAACTAACTGACTTGACCTTCATTTTTTCACTTTGTTTATAAAATAGAGAAATGACTAAATTAAAGCACAATAAAAGAAGCAGTAATCTCTTTGAATATTAGCAGTGAGAATCAGCCTTTATGGGTGAAAGAAAAACTTGATCTCATTTCAGTTTTGCAAGAGCTCCAGACCTTATGAAGCACATCTTTGAGGCAACAGGCTTTCTTAGTAAATATAGTGTTTAATTCTTGGAAAATGAGACTTCTCCATGATTAGGTTTCAAATACTGTATTAAAAATAAAATAAAAATTGTATCTTAAATCCTTAAAAAAAAAGACCATAGCTGTTTGGATATTTTATGTTCCAAATAAATTCTGTGGCTCATCATTGTGTAGAATAATTAATTTTAATTGGCTACATAATTACCTGCATTTACATGTGAAACTTTGCAGTCGAATAGGACTCATTCAATAATCTACTTCTTACTCAATCCTCACAATATTTGGTGGAAATAGCCAATTTATCGTGCAGAAAGGGGTAGGTAAACTTTTTAAGAATTATGTTTTAACTTATAGATAAAACTGATCATCATTCAATTCTTGATCTTAGAAAGGATGTACTCTATATTTTAAAAACAAAAAAAATTTACTTGATCCATTAAAATGCTAATTTATGTGAGTACTGATAATGACTATCATTGTCTTTCAGTTGATAGGAAGCTTAGAAAACAATGAAATGCATAAACATATCACAGGAATGAAGAAGAATAATAGCATGAAAACATGGCTGAAAAAAATCTACACACATGAAAACTGGTTTCTAAACCATTGCTTTAAAAACTTACTTCAGTTATCTCTTTGATATGGCCTTAAATTGCAATGACAAGACTTATAAAAAACATCAATTATATACATATAATGTTTTTACCCCTACCTTTTATAGAACTGACCACCATTAGTTTTATCATCATTTTGCTTTTTATTTGAACTCTTGTCCATCACTGCTTCATATGCAATTGATAACCCCCCTTTTTTCTTAGGTTCACTTTCACTGGTATCTTCCTTAGAATGAAGTTCATTTTCCTTTTCTTTGAACACTGGACATTCATTTTTATCCATAGTAGCTTGTCTATCATCTCCAGCACTATTATTTTCTTGTCTGTGTACTCTCTGTGTGCATAAAATTTCTCTTCTATCTGCATCTTCCATTGGCTCTATAGACTTTCTTAGAGCAAACTCTTCTACCTCATTATGTGATCTTTTTGTATGAAATGTGGCAAAACTTCTCTGAACTAGAGAAGCATTGGCCTTCTCAGAATTTTTCTTGTTGAGTTTATTAACCTTTTCTTTGTCAGGGGAAGGTTGGTTCTTCTGGGAAGATCTTTCTAAAAGCCACCATAGGATACAAATATATTAATGGAGGATGCATTACAATATATGATCAGGATAATTTTATCTTCCCATAATGACATCTCTATTCAGGTTTGTCTTTTCAACAGATAAAAGCTTTTGAAAAGCAAAGTAGAGGTGAACATGACCTACTGAACAACAATTAAATTTTCAAAGATTTTCTAGTTTGTAACTAGTAGGACCCAAAGCCAATCAAAAAAAGGTATTCAAACAGCACTTCTCCAGATATGGGACTTTATAAGTGTGTAACTTCCTCTGAATAAAAACAACAACAGGACTTTTATACAGAGCTTTTTCTCTTCATAAATATCTAGCATTTTAAAGCTGTTACCTGTAAGGGTTGATGTCCTCTTTCCTTTGACAGATGCCATTTCCTTCAGGTTGGGATATAACCACACCTTCTCCTTAGCCTGTGGATACACAATTGAGTAATTGAGGTTATATATTACACAGGGTTTCTCAGCCTCAGTAGAACTGACACTTGAGGCTGGATAATTCTTTACTGTAGGGGATGCCATGAGCATTATAAGATATTTAGCAGCATCTCTGGAATCTACCAACCAGATGCCAATAGTATCCTCCCTCCCAGTTGTAATGTTCAGAATGTCTTTTGACACTGCAGTGGCAGAGGCCATGTACCCACTGCTGCCACAATATCCAGCCCCCCACCTATCCCCCAGCCCCTACCCCCACAGTGGCTGGGCCCTACCCTGCACGGCCAGGCTGGTGTGCTAAGAGGAGGAAGGAGGTGTCCCCCAAAGAGGACAGCAGCAGGACTCAAGGAGTTAGCAGTCCCCAGAAGGACTTAACTCACTGGGAGAGCTAAACTATCCTGAAGGGACTTTGAGAGTGCCTAGCACCTAGGATAGCAAAGAGCAAGAAGGCGGTATGTGAGTTACCCCTAATTAGTGCACCTCAAGAATAACATAGCTGGTAGATTGAAGGCCCCAAGCTGGGGCAGAGTGGGCTTGGCAGTGAAAGGAGGAACTGGGTTGGAGACTAGGCCAATGTGAAGATTCCACCCCAACCTGGCCCCCATTCTCACAAAACCATAGGAAGGAAGAAAAGCAAAGCCCAACCCCCCTCAGTCTGCTGCAGCCAGGAAGACCAGCTGAATTGGCTGGGCCAGTTTAAAGTCATCATGAGTCTTTTTGTTTGTTTATTTCTAAAGTGACACAATAAGACCTGGAGCTATAAAAGGATGGATCACAAGGCAATTCCAACAACTGAGAAACTGAGGCAAAATTTCACTCTGCTATTTAAGAGAACTTGCATTCTATTGTTTATATGTATTTTTTTCATTATTTTTTCTTCTTTTATTTTTTAGCATTTTTATACCTCTTCTTTCTGTTTAGTTTTCCTTGTTTTATTTGTATGTTTAATTGCATTGTGTGACTGGTTTTTCTTGTTCTCTCTTTCCAACTGTATTTTAATTTTCCTTTTTTCACTTCACTTGTGTTCCAATAGTGTACTACTCTAGGTCATGTAGTTCCTATTCTTGTTATTCAGATCATATAGATTCTGTCATATGACTGTTGTTCCAGTATTAGTGTAAGTAATTTTTGTTTCATACAATTGTACACACAGCACTCCACCTGGATCTTAGCCCATTTCACTGTCTTCCAGAACTTTATTACTGTTGTGGTTAACTCTGTTTTCTCACATACTATGCCCATTTTCTATCATTCAATCTCACTATATCTCATAATATGACCTTCCACAAGCTCTCTGCTTTCTGGATTCAACTCACAATCCTTCCTATCTCTAACAAGAGTCTTATCTCTTTTCCACCCTTTCCAAAAAGTGGCTAGGGTGAAATATCACTGTTAACACTATACTTATACAAAGGATCTACTATCTCTTCTCTATAGGTTGGCACTTTAAATCTCATATAATACACTCCTACTGTCTTAATTCATTTTACCTTCCCCCTCCAATTGATCACATAAAAGAATAGATGGGATCTGTGAACACTAATACACCTGCTAGAAGGGAGAACCCACCAAAAAAGAAACCACCAACAGATAATAAAAAAAGTGGCAGAGAAGTGAGTGAAAGCTACACTAAATTTGCAATTACAACTAAACGATGGAGAAATTATCCAGAACAAACAACTGAACAACAGAGAGAAGCCTCATAACCTCAGACAGACAGAAGAACCAGCTTTGATACAACCTGTCCACACCTGCACAACATACAAAAAATGGTGGATGGAGTGACCCTCAGTTAACCAGCTAGAGGGAAGGACCCAACAAAGAAAGACCCAACAAAAATAAAAACCCAAAGACAAACACAGAGCCATCAAAATGGCATCTCAAAAGCAGCAAATTTAGGAGATCAAGGAGACTGAACCACTGAATGTCACAGGTTTCCTGCCATAGAAGTTCACACCACAAGCCCAGGGAGTCAGAACAGATCAAATTAAGAAACAGAAGCAAACAAGGAGAGTCTCACAATGGGAAGACAAAGAAACAATCCCCAAATGAAATAAAAAAAGGAAGCCTCAGAAACAATACCAAATGAAAGAGAGGCAACTCCACTATCAGATACTGAATTCAAAGCAATGGTTATCAGGAAGCTCAATGAGCTCACAGAGAATTATCAGAAACTACAGGGAAACTACTATGAACTCATCGCAAACCATATCAACATGAAAAAGGAAACATAAACTATCAACAAGGGCCAAGAGGAAATGAAGAATACAATTTCTGAATTGAGGAACACAGTAGAAGAAATCAAAAGCAGACTAGATGAAGCAGAGGATTGAATCAGTCAGCTGGATGACAAGGTAGAAAAAAACTCTCAGAAAGAGCAAGAAAGGAAAAAAGACTCAGAAAGAATGAAGAGGTATTAAGGGAAATGCAGGACAACATGATACATAATATATCCATATAATAGGGATACCAGAAGGAGAAGAAGAAGAGCAAGGGATAGAAAACATGTGTGAAAAACTAGTAATGGAAAACTTCCTTAATTTGATGAGAGGAAAACTCAAACAAATCCAGGAAACACAGAAAGTCCCAATCAAGAGGAATGCAAAAAGGCCTAATACAAGACACATCATAATTAAAATGGCAAAATTCCAAGACAAAGACAGAATCTTAAAGGCAGCAAGGTAGAAACAGGAAGTAGCATACAAGGGAGCCCCAATAAGGCTAGCATCTGACTTCTGAAAAGAAACATTAAAACTAGAAGAGAATGGCAAGAAATATTCTAAGTAATGAAAAACAAAGGCATGCAACCAAGACTACTCTAGCCAGCAAGGCCCTCAATTAAAATGTTAGGCAAAATAAGGAGTTTCCCAGACAAAAGAAGCCTCAAAGAATACACCTCCTCCAAACAAGCACTGCAAGAGATGCAAAAGAACCTGCTTTACGAAAAGGAAGAAAAAGAGTGAGAGAGAGAGAGGAACACAGGTACAATGGAAATAAAATGGCAATGAATAAGGACCTATCAATAGTAACCTTTAATGTAAATGGATTAAATGCTCCAATCAAAAGGCATAGAATAGCTGAAAGGATAAGAAATCATGACCCACATATATGCTGCCTACAAGAGACTCACCTCAGAACAAAGAACTACACAGACTGAAAGTGAAGGGCTGGAAACAAATATTCCAAGCAAATTGACAGGGGAAAAAAGAAGGGATATCAATACTCACAATAGGAAAAAAACAAAACAACCCCAAAACTTTAAATCAAGGGCCATAAAAAGAAATCCAGAAGGACACTTTATAATAATCAAGGGAAAATACATCAAGAAAACATAAACATTAGAAATATATATGCACCCAAATTAGGAGCATCCAAATATGTAAAGAAAAACTTGAAGGACTCCAAGAAAGATATAGACAGCAGCACAATTATAGTAGAAGATTTTAACACCTCACTGTCAACAATAGATAGATCTTCCAACAAAATATCAGCAAAGATATTGCAGCATTGAACAATATCCTAATCAAACAGACTTAACTGATATATATAGAACCTTGTATCCTAAAAAAGCAAAATACACATTCTTTTCAAATGCACATGGAACATTTTCAAAGATAGACCACATGATAGGACAAAACAAGCCACAACAAATTCAAGAAAGCTGAAATTATATCAAGCATTTTCTCTGACCACAAGGGCCTGAAACTAGAAACCAACCTCAAAAAAAAATTCAAAAACACTAAAATTCATCCAGATTGAATAGGATGCTATTAAACAATGAACAGGTTAATAATGAGATGAAGGAAGAAATAAAAAAATTTGGTTCGATTCCCAGTCAGGGCACATGTCCAGGCTGCAGGCCAGTGCCCAGCAGGGGACAAACAAGAGGCAACCATACAATAATATTTCTCTCCCTCTTTTCTTCCCTTCCTCTCTAAAGATAAATAAATTTAATTTTTTTAATTAAAAAAAATCTGGAAACAAATGAAAATAAACTCTTAACAATCCTAAACTTACAAGAAACAGCGAAGGCAGTCCTGAGAGGGAAGTTTGTAGAAATACATGCCCACCTAAAAATGATAGAAACATTTCAAATAAATAATCTAACCCTAAATCTACAAGAACTGGAGGAAGAACAATAAAGACAGCCCAGAGCAAGTAGGAAGAAAGAAATAACCAAGATCAGAGCAGAATTAAACAACATAGAGACTAAAAGAACAATTATAAGGATCCATAAATCCAGGAGCTGTTTTGATGAAAAGATAAACAAAATCAACAAGGCTTTAAGAAGACTTATCAAAAAAGAGAGGACCCAAATAAACACAATCAGAAATGAAAGAGGAGGGATTATAGTCGATACCACAGAAATTACTACAAAAAAATTGTATGCCAAGAAATTTGAAAACTTAGGTGAAATGGACAGATTTCCAGAAAAATATAATCTTCCAAAACTCGATGAAGAAGAAGCAGAAAGCCTGAACAGAACAGTAACAGCTGACAAAATTGAAGGAGTAAACAAAAACTCCCAGGACAAAAAAAACCCTGGACCAGACAGTTTCACAGAATTTAACAAAACATTTAAGGAATACATAACCCATACACTTCTCAGACTATTCCAAAAAATCCCAAATCATGGAAGACTCTCAAACTCTTTTTATGACAGCAGCACCATCCTAATCCCAAAACCAGATAAAAACATAACAAAGAAAGAAAACTACAGTCCAATATTGCTGAAGAACATAGACAATAAAATCCTCAACAAAATATTGACAAACCTCATTCAGCAATACATTAAAAAGATTATACACTATGACCAAGTGGGATCATCCTAGGATTCAAGAATGGTACAATAGTCACAAATCAATAAACATAATACATCACTTAAACAAAAGAAAGACAAAAATCACAAGATTATATCAATAGATGCAGAAAAAGCATTTGATAAGGTACAGCACCCATTTATGATAAAAACACTC